CCTGCCCCAGCCCCCAGCCCCCAGCAACCACTGACCTGCTTTCTGTCTCCGATTCACCTATTCCGGGCATTTCCTATCAACGGAACCACACAACCCCTCCAATTCTGCAACAGCTCTGCCCTTCCTGATTCCATCCCTCCAGCCACCTCCTGTGCCTGTGATCCATCGTCACTGAGGCACCGGGGTGATGACAGCCACGCACCTGGCTTTCTCCACCACCTGACGCAGGCAACGCCCAAGCCCAAACCCACACAGTCCCTGGTCCTGGTCCCTACCCTCCCAGGCTCAGCCCAGCTTTGCACTCATGTGGGGACACCTGTGCAGTACTTTCACAGCCCTAGGACACTGTGAACTCAACACGCCCAAGTTAAGGGTCGCCCTCCCCTTCCAGCCACCTCTCCCCAGGCCCCCCACCTTAGCTCCCCGTGATCTCTTGCTGGGACCACTGTAGGAGCCTCCCCCTGCCCCAATCTCATTCCTAGCCCGTCCACCCTTCACACTGTAGCCAGAACACCCCATCTGAAATCTGAAGTGCCCATGTCACTCCTCTGCTTATACCTCTTCAGAGCCCCCCACGGTTCTCAGGAGCAGCCCAAACGCCCTCCTGGGAAGGCTTCTCCTGACCCATCTCCACGGCCCCTGCCTTGCCCTCAGTGCCCTGGAAATAGCCCACTGTGAGGCAGTGCTGAAGTCAGCCCACACGCCCCTCTGCCTGGCGTGCCTTTCCCCCAATTCTCCCAAATTCTGCACATCTTTCGAGGCTCAGTTCAGGCATCCCCCGCTCAAGGAAGGCTTCCCTGATGCCCCAGACTGGGGTACGCATCCTTCCTGCCTGACGCTGACCAACATCAGGCGTTTATACGTCCATCTTCTTCTCTAGACTACGAGATCCCTGAAGACCCTTTTCATCTCATCCATCCATCCACCCGCCTACTCATCCATTCATTCAACAAAAGTGTCCCAAGAGCCTACCAAGAGCGGGGTACCAGGAATTCCCGGACAGACCAGGTTGCTGTTCTCAGGCAGCTGACAGTCCGCCAGTGGAGACGAGAACATGTGACAGCCACCCCTGCCACAGAAGCTGCACGGTGCGGACTCTAGGGTCAGGCTCCCTGGGTTCAAATCCTGCTTCCACCACTTGTGAGCTGTGAAATCTGGGACAAATCACTTATCTGTGTCTTAGTTCCTTCATCTCTAAAATTACAACAGATGTACATACCTCCGAGGGTTGGGAGGATTACAGAGCTGACAGATGTCAATCAATAAGAAGTGTCCGCAGCACTGCCTGGCACATAATATATGCTTGATAAAAGCTAGTTATTCCTATTATCAGCGCAATGGGAGCATTTATGGCAGAGCCCTACCCCACATGTGGGGTCAGGTGTTACATTCACCTTTGTGCCCCTATGCCTGGCATGTACTCAGCAAATGTTTTGGGGCCACACTGATGAGCCCTAAAAGGGTCAGTGGCTCAGCATTACGCTGGACGTCATGCTAGATAACAGCTGACCCAGCTTGCCCACTTCTGCAAACAGACAGAGGCTGACAAAGCTGGTTCATGGCAGGGCAGCCATCAGCCTCTAAACCTCCTGACTTCCCAGCTGATGTTCCTGCCCTACTCCAGGAAGGCTCTTGTTACCCACGACAACACAGCTCTTCTGTGTCTGCCACGGTCCCGCATTTTCCACAGCAGAGAGGCTGCTGCCTGCCACCCAGGCGACCTCTTTCATGCCCCTGCCGCTTCTCCGCATGCCTCTCCTCCAACCCTGCTTTGTTGTTTTTTTCTCTGTTTCATGGCCTGTGGTTCTCTTATTTCCTGAAAAAAATCTTATCCTTCAAAAAGACCACCAGAGATTGTTGTTTTCTTGAGAGAGCACCTCAAACAAATCACGGATGTAGGTGCAGTCCCTGAACCCCAGTCCCTCTCCAGTTCCCACTAGCCTCTCCTGGTGGGGAAAGCTTCTTCGGCATTTGCCCGCTCTAGGGTTCCGTCTTTTTTGGGTGCTCCAGGGTTCAGAAGGCAGGTCCCCCAGGAACCTGGGTGTAGAATGATGGCGAAGGAATGGCTCTGAATTAAAAGCCAAATCCCAAATTTCCAACTGAACACGTAACTCTCACCCATCACCTGCTTGCTGCAGGTCTCCAACAGTGGCCTTTGAATGAACGGCATGTCATCCTTTGTCACCACTGACTTGATGACATTTTTAGAGGCGTGCTATTTACAGAACTGCTCTGTTAGGAAACTTTTGCTTTCACACCTCAACTGGCCTCAGAGGCAGTAAGAGAACATGACTTAGTGAACAAATAAACTCTGGCGTGGGGGCCGAGTGAGGTTCTATATCACTTTATAGGGTTGGGCTAACTATCAGTTGTAAGTACCCTGAGCTTCATCTACCTTTGTTTCTGCACCTCTGCTGGGTGTGTTCACAGGTGTGTGTCTGAGGCTCACAGAGGCACAGAGGCTAATCACAAGCCAGGCTGCCCAATAATGGGAGTGCAACATAGTGCTGGGACTTCGTCTTAACAGCTCACGGTAATTATTACACCACATAAATCAGCCTGGATAGTTAACAGTCATGGACGGAGTGCTGAAAACGGGGGTAGTAAATTGCACCGACACCGTTACTATTAAGAGTTCATTTTACCACTTCATATCATAACAGCCACTGGCCATGAAGATGTTTGCCCTGGATATGAGATTTTAGAAATCTCACTTTATCTTTCTTGTAAATGCTAAAGCAGACTCATTCTTTTAAACAAAACAAAACATAAACACACAAAAAAGCGGAAAACTATTTTTTAGGAAGAGAAAAAGCATCTGCCTTCCCCCAAAAAAACCCTTTCCAAGTTTTGGGGGTTTTTTTTGGTTTTTTGTTCTTTTTAAATATGTCTTTATTAATTTCAGAAAGAGGAAGGGAGAGGGAGAGAGAAATAGAAACATCGATGATGAGAGTCATTGACCGACTGCCTCCTGCACGCCTCCTACAGGGGATCGAGCCCGCAACCCGGGCATGTGCCCTGACTGGGAATCGAACCGAGATCTCGATGCTCAACCGCTGAGCCAGGTGGGCCGGGCTCCACAGTCTTATATGGAAGATCTCTAGCAGAAGTTTCTCTTGCCAAAGGAAACCTTTCTTTAGCCTGAGAGGAATTCCTTCTTGTCTCCACACCTAGTGCAGAACTCACCTTCAGAAGGTTATTCACTATCTGCCTTCCCAATTTACCTGCAGAAGAGGCAGCCCATCTAATGCATCTCGTGGAGAACAGGCAGGCTTTGGAATCAGAGGCCTGAATTAAGCCCCCACCCTGCACCTTATAGGTAGACAGACCATATATCCCCATTTATGCCTGTTATCCTGGCATAATCATTACTACCCCCTTTTACTCTCAAAAGTGTTCAGGTCTGTATGACAAATTATGTGGTCACCTTAAAATTATATGGGTCACTGCCGACAAGACACTTACCTTTTCAGTAACTCAGTTTTGCATTTGTTCAATAAAAACAAGGGAACCTAATTTACAGGGGTGTCATCAATGTGGAATTAGACAGTGCACTTGAGGCGTGGTTCCCAGGAGCGCCCAGTACTCCCCTGAATTTAGCTCTGTGCTCAGGAGGTCCACTTCTGGGAAAAACCGCTACTCTGTACATGAGGCCCTCACTGTTGACCGCCAGTTTAAAGACAGGACCAATAGCAGCTTTCACTGTGAGACGGTCTATAAAATTGTAATGGGATCTATTGTGTCCAGCAGCTACACAATTAGTTCTGCCGTCCATCTGACCAGAAATGAATCACATATGGATGGGTAAACACCTATATTCTCTCCACAAAGTAGGATTAAGAAAAAAATTCATCCCAAGGAAACCTCTATGAAAAGTAGATCTAGTGAACATGGCTCAGAAAGAGGTTAGTGGTAGGAGACCCTTCAAAATGGAGTGAAATAACCTCCCCTCAGCCAATGTATTTGCAAATTTCTTACTTTCTCAAGCCAAAAAACTTGCCCTTACCCATCCAATGATGAGACAGTTTCTCAATAAAAGGACTGAGGTATCTCACTTTAAAAATTAGGCCAAATAGCACCCGCCGTCTGGCACAAGAATCTATACTAGCAACCAGCAGCTCGCGAAGCAAAAGAGATGCTGTCACTTCGTTGATAAGCTTGTTAAACGCACATATGTTCTCTTTAGTCGGACGTGAGCAGTAACAATATCTTGTAATGGGGCTGCTCCCACAATCTTAAGGGAGTGGTTTTACTTAGTAAGGAATTCAATCAATAAACCCATAAAAAATGGTGGTTAAAAATGTGAAAGTATTCAATTCCAATCTTCAGCATGTCTTTTGAAACAAAGGATGAAAAAATATATATTATTCCCATTATTATTTATCGCGGGTTGAGTGCGTGAAGATCCCTCTTCATGCTCAACTACTAAAGTAGAAAGGAAGTGGTCAGCATTCCCAGGCTCTAAATATAGACTTAGAAGCTGTGAGAGGAAAAAGATGCACATGGTAGCCCAGCCACGACTCCGAGTCTGGAGGGCAGCAAGGAACAGTGCAGAGTGGGCTGTTCTGTGGCAAACTCATTTCCTATCAACAGAAGTTTCCAGACACAGAAAAAGGCTAGTGCCGTTCCCAGAAATCCAGCACCCTCCAGCTGGGGGGCAAGGTAACCACCAGGATGAAGTGCACACCTATGGAGCTATCTCCACCTCAAACCCTGACCTCAGAGAGATGCCTCTGCCCCGATAAGCCACAGGGTAGCAGGAAAACACCCCCGGCAGCCAGGTGTGCAACATATTTCTTGGGCAATCCGGTACTTCTTAAGAGTTCTTGTGATTATGCAACTCTGAAACACAGACAAGGAAAAGAGAAGTTGATCTGTATATTGGGAATTCTCCTGCAGAATGTCTGTGGTGTTTCTCCACATGAAAAGCTGAACCAGAAATCACGCTTTCATTTAGATTCATATAATCAGTAAGTTTTGGCTTTAAATACACCATGTACCTGTGCTGATTGATACAGCCTTCTAGGAGAAAGTTGCCTCCTCGTGCATAGTAAAAGAATGAACCAAGGGTGACTCCAGCGCAGTTCTTTGGCCAGATCCAAGGAGATCAGTCCACATCCCCTTCACTCTTATCTGGCATCTTGGGGACAGGCCACGTCAGGAGGTCAATTCCTGATCAACAGAAGAGACAGCACAGCGGTGGGGGGGCATAGTGTCCAGAACACTCCAAAACCCTGCTCTGTGACTGCTGTTTCACAGAGCCTGGCAGACTGGTGAGGTCTATGGACCCTTTTCAGGATTTTTTAAATGCCTAAAATGAAATGCACAGGATTACAGAGGATGTCAATTACATTTAAATATGGTGATCAAAATATTTTTAAAATTGTGACATAGTAACACACATGCTTATTTGTCCATGCATTAAATAACACTATCTAGCAGCAGGTCTAAAAACCGCCATCATTTCAAAGTCATACTGTTTCAAGGTATCGGTTAGCCATCTACGATGTGATATAAAATACCGAATTTCTATTGGTGACTGAGTCACAGGCAACACTAACATTGCTGTAATTTGTGGTCAACGTTCAAAGTTCAGGACCTGCTCAATTTTTGTTAGAGGTTAGTGAGACTCAAGGTGTAATATTTTTTCCCATGCAAGCTCACAGATCCCCCTTGAAGCCCTACAAAGTGGTGCATGTGAAACTCGTGTGATTACCTGATTTTATGCCCTACTCCTATGGCTTTTCCAAAAGATGAGGAGACCTACAACCTGGACCCTGGCCCAGCCGGAGCCAAAGCCCGCGCATGGGAGGGGAAGGGTGTGCAGCAAGGCGCCAACATCTCTTTTTTCTTCAGCTGTACCCAATGCACAAGCCACAGCTTTTTATTTTTTAAACTGTTAGTATTAAGAGTATTTAAGTTAGCTGAATCGTCGGACCATGGGAAAATTACAAGTCACTTCCCCTAACGCTGTGTTCTGAATTATATCAGCTCCAGGCGTATAGCAAACTTCTAATGCTCTTTTACTATTTGAAATCAAATTCTTAGAAAAACTTCCTAAATGCAACTTGAAACATATATATTTATTGCCGTAAGAGTAACATAAATGAGAATAAAAGGAAAATAATTTATCACAAATCTCACACACATTTCAATATGCAACTCATTGGGCAAGACTAATCTAGAAGGTATGATGCAATTATGAGATGCTTATACTTGAATGTAAAATCAAACAGAGGGTCAGGTATAGGTGTGGACTGACACCAGGTGACGTGGTGAGGCCATGGGTGGCGTGATTTCTGGCAATCGCCTCTTGACAAATTTCCCAACAAAACAAAGCACAATCTCTCTTTACCCACTAAGAAAGTCAATGCTTACTTAAACTGTGCAAACAGTCTTTGTTTATGTGTGTGTGAGGTCTCCAGGTTCAGGTAATAACCCAACCAGCTTTGTTTTTTCATCCATGATCATCTCACAGTGGAACACAGGATACACTCTGGGGTATAAGACTATTCTAACCATCACAGCTGGCTGGAATCCCTGGTCCCCACCCAATAAATGCGAGCAGTGCCCCTCAATCACTGACAATCAAACTGCTCCATAAATTTCTAAAATGCCCCCACAAGACTCCCCGGAACTAGCCAAATCCATAGTGCAGTTCCCACACTCTGCCCACCTGTGGGTAGCATCAAGCTGGGCCACTGAGGAGACACTCCCCAGGAAACTGGAAGTGGCATTACAAGAGCAAGACCAGTCTTGCTGGGCGGCTTCCTAGTAACAAGTGACCTTCCCCCCCGAGTTCAGCCCTTGAGACAAGAAAAGCAGAAGGAGGCAGAGAGGAGAATGAAGCAGCCAGATAGGGGAAGGCAGAGGGGAAGCAAAAGGGGTTCCTGGGGCAGGTCCTGGCTCCTGCTCCGGGAGCCCTAATGTGAATTCTCCGCTTCTGGTTGAAGCAAGCTCTGGTGGGTTTCTGTTGCCAGCACCCGGAGGCGTCCTTATTAATTACAGGGGCCGACCCCCTGCAGAGATGGCCACCCACCTAACCCAAGCAGGAAAGCTAACACCGAAAATGCTCAGGAGAACCTGTTGTGTCAAAGGACCTACCTTATTTGGGGGACATTTCTCAGACTGTTCCTAAGCTCTTCAAGCTGTACTTGAAACCCATTTATTTTCATTCTGTTCTCATTGCCAATAAATAAATAGGCAAGTGACCATTCTTCACCTGGCATTTCAGGCTCTAGAAAGATAAATCCAGATCATTCTGAAGTATTTCCTGCCTGGCTCCTCTTCATCAGTCTCCTCAGTCACAACACGTAAATAACACCGTCATCCTTTCCTGACAGCCTGGAAAATTTAGGTATTGGAGAAATTTGGCCTTGAAGGGCCCAATTAGGCCTGAGTGAAAAAGATAAATGTTTTCCAAAGTCTTTCCAACCCCAAATGTCCATGATTTAATGTCTCCAAATCTTATTATGCTCAGAAATAATACCACCCTAATTCAGCAATGTGGCGGTGAGGACCAGCTGCCAGAAAGGTGTTGTAAAAGAAGCCAAGATCACTGTCTCTACCTCTGCCACTAATGGACTCCCATTATATCGCCAAAAAAGCCACTGCTGGAATCTAATGAATAAATAATTAGCACTTGAATGGAATTTGTGTCCATGTTAATTCCAGCTAGTTTCCGCAAGAGAGCCTCAATTCAATTAGGAAAAATGGGGGGGAGGGTAATATTACTTATAATGGAACATTTTAGAATTACCTGAAAAGGTTCCTATATAAGCCAATCAGGTATAATATTAAATAGCAAAAACTTAATAAATAGAAAAGAAAGTTTGAGTATGACACAGGAAATGGGTTAGTTTCACATCTGCCAGATTTACTTAGTGTAATTTCCATAGGAGTATCGAGAGAATTAAAGGAGTGTGGGGGTAGATATAATGGGTAAGTTCTTGAGCCTAAAGTATAATCTTAAGAGAATATTTAAAAACATTAATTTTTTTTAAAGAAAATATTTAGTTACTAGTCTAAAAGGATCTTCAAAAGGACACTAAAATGTTTCTTATGCTATTTAAACATCTGACAAGAGCTGTGTATCAGTTAGCAACTGCTGTATAACAAACTTCCCCAGGACTCAGTGGCTTAAAACTACAATCATCGATTATTGCTATAACTCTACAGGTCAGCTGGGTGGTTCTGGTGATCTGGCTTAACTGATCTGGGCAAGACATGTTCAGGAGATTTTGAGAGGCCAATAGTTCAGTTGGGGGCTGGCTTATATAAGATGGCCTCGGCTGCCACAATCTGGCTCATCCCCAAGTGTTTCTCAGACCTCTCTATTAGGCTAGTCTGGGCATGTTCTCATGGCGGTGGCAAGCATTTAGGAGAGCTCGCCCAGCTGTGTAAAAGACTGTTAGAAACACCTACACTCTTCTGAACTCTGTTTACATGGCATTTGTTAACATCCCACTGGCCAAAGCAGGCCACATGGCCAATCACAGTGGTGGGGGAGGGAAGGGGAGGGAACTAAGAGTTACAAGGTAAAGAGCGTGGACACAGGGAGGTCATTAATCGGGACCATTAGTGCAATCAGTCTACCACAGGCAATGCTTAGTTTGTCATCACCCTGGCAGAAGCAGAGCGATTTTACATTATTTTAAGTTTTCCCATTACCATTTCTCATTTTGTTCTTTCCATTATCACTTCTGACGCAGGAAGGCAGAGTGAAAAGAGCTAGGCTTTGGAATCAGTGAGACCCACATTCATACCCTGACTTCACTGCCTCTGGCTACATGGCCCTGGGCAAGTTTCCTGTGCACCTCAGTTTCCTCAGTGCAATCGCAGGACTGCTGACAATTACATAAACTGGAACATGTAAACATACGTAGCTCAGTGTCTACCCAGAGCTGAACTTGAACCTTAGCTACAGCGTTTTGCAAATGTTTTATTTGAATATATAGTCAGCCCTCCATATCCACTGACTTAAAATCCATGGATTCTACCAACTGCAGACCAAAAATATGTTTTCAAAAAATCCCAGAAAGTTCCAAAACACGGAAAACTTGCCACATGCCCAGCACTACTGAATCCATGAAAATGAAGTGATGTGTAGGCACACTCAGCTGTAGCCTAAATGCAAATATAGGTTATATGCAAATACTTCACCGTTTTATATAAGGAATTTGAGCTGCCAAGAATTTTGGTACCCGAGAGGGATCCTGGAACCAATCCCTGGTGGAAACTAAGAGACAACTGAATTAAAAACTATGACCAACAAGGAAATAGGCACACTTCCTGTGACAGTAAAGATCTTCAGTGGAAAGGAAGAGTTCCTGTGCAGAAAGCATAGAAAACCATTTCTTTGCAAAACGTTTTGAGGACTGTGATAGACAGATAAGTGGCCCCCAAAGATGTTCAGTTCCTAAACCCTGGAACCCGTGAACCTGTTAACTTAAGAGGGCAGACTCGATCAAGTTAAAGGCCCTGAGATGAGGAGAGTATCCTGGATTAGTTGGGTGGGCCCAATCTAATCACAGAGATCCCTAAAATCAGAGATCCTTTCTTAGAATGTAATATTTCTTATATTTATGTAAAACTTAAGCCTTCATGTATATAGTTTCTTACTTTTTCATGTATATCCAGGCATCAAATTAATTCATGTTCTTATATCTAAGTTTAGCCTCTCAGAAGAATGTCATGTAACGCCTGTATGTATAAATCCTATGAACAAATATTGGATTTTTGTAAATTATGCATTTATTGTTAATGATCAATGTTTAATTTTTTAAGAATAAACCATGGCAGAAAAGCGAGAAAAAAAAATCAGAGAACCTTTCCCAGCTGTGGTCAGAGTGCCACCCTGGGGGCAGAGGGACAGGAGGAAGGGAGGAAGGGAGCACAAGCCTGTGAATGTGGGTGGTCTCGAGAAGCTGGACGAGGCAAGGACACGGATTCTCCCGCAGAGCCTCCAAAAGGAATGGACACTGCGATCTTAGCCAGCGAGGCTCATGCTGAACCTGTGACCTACAAAATTATAAAACAATAAACTGGTGTTGCTTTAAGCCACTGCGTCTGTGGTTATTTGTTACGGCAGTAACAGAAGAGCTACAAAGTTTCATAATCTTCATAAGACTGAAGCTGGGGAAATAGAAAAGTCTCTCTTGAAGCCACTGGACTGGCAAAAAGAAAGTCTGAGACTTGGAGGACACGAAACTTGGAGGGCGCGAGCCAGGCACGGCACGAAACATGGAAAGCGGTGTCTGATTCTAGTTCCGGCGGCAAGCAGGCAAAAGGCATTATGTAGAATAAGCAACTCATTACCGCGGAAAACCTTTACTGGCCTCTATAGGAAAGCACAGTAAAATCACTATCCATACAATCTCCGAGTATGTACTACGGGAAAAGCCATAGTAACAAAATCCTTCTGATATTCCGCCGAAATTAGCTAGTTATTAATAACAGGAATGGAGCGAAGGGAAGGCCAAATATTATAGGCATGTCATTTAGGCAGCTTTGCCAGGAAGCTGCAGCTTTGCACTCCCCAGGGAGCCGCTGGCCGATTCCCTGCAGATGGCTGGGGGAAGGGACTGGACCTGGAGGACGGACACATTCCCGGTAAAGCTGGGGTGACATCAGAAAGGTACTGGTCTGTGAGTCACACCTGGAAACGGGTCACTGGCCAGAATGGGCGTGGCCACAGCAAGCACAGG